AATTATGATTTTTTAGAGCCTAAATCTTAGAATTCTAAACCCTAAAAAAATTATTTGACCCCTAAAATCCCTAAAACCCTCAAAACTAAACCCTAATACAACATAATTAACCCAAACATAAATGATATAACGAATAAATAATTTTGAAAAAGTGACATTTTTGTATAGATTGTAAAAATGTGGCATTTTTGTAAAGTGGCACTAGAAAAGTGGCATTTTTTAAAATTTCTCAATTTCAAAAAATACTACTTTTCTAGTGCCACTTTACAAAATGCAACACTTTTGAAATCTTTACAAAAATGCCACTTTTCAAAATTATTTTTTTTATGTTATTTATATTTGGGTTAATTATGTTCTATTATGGTTTCGTTATGAGGGTTTAGGGGGGTTTATGGGTCAAAACATTTTTTTTTGTCAACAAAGTTTTTCATTCATTTAAACGATCGGAGTACAAAAAGAAGGAATTAAACATCCCCCACCATAAATACAACACAACTGAAATGCGATAAAATATAAAGTATATAGATCATCGTAGAAGATGGACAGCGAATCCAAGTCGTGAGTCGGATGCGTCAAGAGGGTCTTCACGGCAAAGCCGGAGAGTCTCAGGGTAGTCACTTTCCAATGTGACTTTGAAGATCCCGACATAATGCTCGGGGATTCGACCACTCTCCAGGAGAGGGAAGAAGATACGACCAATCTCAAAGAGATGAAAGAAGGTGGAACTGAACTCTTCCACCAGGAGTAAATTACATGATTTGAGAATCCAGAAAAATTTGATCTTCTCTCAATAGAAAAGATATCGAGCTCGCGAAAAAAAGATTTGAGAATCCAGAAAATTTTGACCCTCTCCTATGTGTCCAGAAAACAGGAAAGATATCGAGCTCACCAAAACATTTTTTAGTGTAGAATTTTAAGATATAGAGTTTAAAAATTTATAATTAGTGGCATTTTTGCAAATGAACACCTCTAAATGACATTTTTATAAATTGATACATAAAAAGTGGTATTTTTGCAATTTTCCCTTCTAAAAATTTATGATGGAAAGAAGATTCGTCAAATGTAAAAGACATTATAAGTTTTCTAAACAAATTTAATTTTGATCTGTTATACACGTGGCAATCACAGTATGGTTAGTCGGCGGAAAACCGGAAAGATGGTGGAAGAAAAGCATTCTAAGTTCCAAATGCAATGCACCGGAAATTACTATAAAGAAATTTGGTAATTATTAACATAAAAGGATGATGAACAGAGGTGGTGTGAGTTTGAAAATTTGAATCACAAGTACAAAGAAAATATTAAAGTTGCCTCAAATGTTTTTTTAATCCATAGTGCATCCAATTTTTCTTTCGATCTAATTTACTTTCCTATCAACCAA